TTTGGGCATGATGAGGATACTTGACAGCTTCCACTTATACTAGGTTTGTGATTTGGACATAATGTTGTTGTTTCCTCATCCACAACTTTGCATGTATCTGGATAGAATGTTAATTGATTGGCCCTGTTGAAGTAAATCCAGGCAGATTTTGTAATGGGAGGAGACCAATGATGCTATTATAAAAGAGAGGGCTTTTTTCCTTTCAATTCAACTTTACAGTGGAGAGTATGGGAGAGGCTGTAGTCCACGGATGTCAAACTTGCTGCGTCACATTGCCATCAGGTGATATATTTCATGATGGCTTTTCTCTTCACGGATGATGCATCTGGCACGCAGGCTCCCAGTTTGACACCTCTGCTCTAGTCTTGTGGCATCAGGTCATGTCAATGTCCATGGAATCACATCATTGAGATTGCTGGGACTTTGTCTTAAGTAGATTATGTTGGCAGCTGGACATGAGACCCAATTCCCATTGCCTCTTGGGTAAATAATTAATTTACACAGTCTAGATCATCAAAATAAAACCCTATATCCTAATGTTTCGTGCTTAATGGCCTTAAGATGCAACTGCTTTCTTAAATGAGCAAATTGTACTGCGTTGAAGTATTATAGTCTGAATAATTCAGCAAATCTTGCCAACTATTTCCAAAATTAGTTCTTGATTGTTAGTTCTCAGAGGGAAAATACCAGTGAGTATTTTGTACTTATTCATCAGAATTCTTAGGACCAAGCTGTATGAGAAGAAGTCTTTCATGTCATTAGGAATTGTGTGGATGGAGTTTAGAAAGTAAATACCAAGTCATGCTCTTATACGTCCATCACTAATCTAGAAAGGAACAAATTGGAGAACGCTACTCTAAGCTAAATGTTAACTGTGATCTATACATACGCCATTCTATTTGACAGAGGATGTTAATTTTTATTTTACACATTCCACAAATCCCTAACAAAGAGGTAAGAAGGAAGAGTGAATTTTCCTCCATTGCTATGATTCAGTCCTGAGCTCTGAAAAGCTTTGCTCATTATTTTAATAGGCTGAGAGTTAATGGTCTGTTAAGCTTACATCTTTTGCTTCTATTCCTGTCCTCAGAATGCTTTGACCTCCCTCCCAACCTATTATATTGCAAAGAGCTGGAAGAAATAGAAAAAAAGGCTTGCCGTGCCTTTTTACAGGTCCTTATTTTCTGCCAACGGTGCTTTTCATTTTTGGAATTTTGGAGGATCCCGAAAATGTTGCAGTGCAGATTTTGCTTCCTTGCTGAACTTGCATACTCTCTCTGTTCTCTTCATCCCTTTTTTAGCATTTGCTGATAAATATTTTTTTCATTACATTCATTACAGTACCTTGTTTTTAGTTTCAACTCAATGTTAAAAAACTTCTTTGGGCTATCAATATACAGTAGAGCAGGGTTGTCAAACTCAAGACCTGTGGGCCAGATCCGGCCCACTGGGTGCTTAGATCTGGTGCATGGGCCTGCCCTGGAAATAGCAAAGGACCAGCTTGCAATTATATGTAGAAGATAGAGACACAATGTTTGACTGAATTGTCATGGAGATTTGTTGCTATGTGTTTCACCAATGACAACCCTAGATTCATTTCAGTTCCTGATTCATTCACGTTTCTAACAAATGGATGGGATGTTGAACTGAAGTCCATGATCATTGCTTATCCCAGGGGAGATCAAGGGCCGTTTTGTTCGGAAAAACAATAGTGAGTTTTGTTGTATCTAGTAGGTGGAGCTTAAGAGTCTGATTCTGAATTTGCCTGAAATACAGGATTACTCTAAATAATTGGGGAGGGGGATGAATGCATCTGGGGTTATACCATTTTAATAATAATATTTAGTGATTTTTTATTGATAAGATTTCATACTATCTACTTATGGTAATAGGATTTATCAGAACTTTGTAGAGTAGACCACTATTGTTACTATCTTAGAAAAACACTGCTAGAAACAGTTAATACAGCAGGAAAAATTGCACTTCTGTGATAGCATATATGTTTTAAACAACTCCATATATATTAATTAACTCCAAACATTTCTAGTACAGAGCTAGATTTTGATACTCAATGATCTGTCAGCTGATACAGGTAGTCTTGGACTTATTGGAACTGGAAGTTCCATCACTAAGTGATTTGGTCATTAAGGGAATTGCACACAGTTTTATGTCATTGTTGCTAAGCAAATTTGGCTTCCCTCATTGTCAGAGGGCTCCTGAGAAATTGTGATCATGTATTACCTCTCTCCCCCTTGCAATTTTCATAAATACATGCTGGTTCCTAAGTTCCTGAATTTTGAGTGTGTGACTGCAGGTATGCTGTGACATTCATAAGTGCCAGGATCAGCCCTAAGTCACGTTTTTTCCCCACACTGTCATAACTTGAATGGTTATTAAAAGAATGGGTGTAAGTTGAGGTCTACCTGTATAATAAGCTGGATGTACCACTGGTTTTATTTGATCCATGATAGTATCCTATAGATGTCATTTGTCAGAACTCTATATTGGCCATGCTCTAACTTGCTTTTGTAGAGTAACACAAAAGGATTGAAAGATCAATCCTCTCAGCTGCAGACTGAGGAAGAAGAGGACTATAGCACATGGTTTTTCTGAATAAGTCTATCCATCCTCAGTCCTTTCTAGTAGATGTTTAGCGGGAGAACAGGAACAAATACATGTTGGAAAGAATTTGTGTCTTTTGGAACTAAAACAAATTCCTGAGAAGCTCAGAGATAGCTTCAATAGTTGCCTTCCATAGCTATATCTTGCACTTGGTTTCTCAGTAAAGCAGTAAAACACCCAAGACAATTCCGCAAGCTTGGAAAAAACCCACAATTACAGCAAGAGTGAACCATTGCCCATCATGATTCTCTATAGCCATGATGGCGAAGCTATGGCACTTGTGCCCAAAGTAGCACACGGAGCCATGTCACCTGGTACGTGCGTAATCGCNTTCCAAGGCATATTTATAATGATAATTTAGCAGATTGCTTCCTGATACCACAGGGGATTGTTCTGTTGGCAAGAACCACAAGTGCTTGGCAAAAAAATAAAATCAACCAGAAAGTATCATCTGATTCCGGATTTGGCATAAACCGGAGGTTTGATTAATCTCAAGAGCCAGGCAACCAGCCAGTTGTACTGTGGGTTCTAGAAAGAAAACGAGGACAGTATCTTCTATGGCTCAACAGCTGATTGTAAAAGGCAGTTGATTAAAAATGTAAAAGACTGCAGTGTGGAAAACTGAGACCGGTAAACCAAGCAGCTGCCCTCTCGGCTTTCTATCCCTGCTGCTACTTCTAGGGATGAATGGAAACACATCCAAAGCGAGGTCAAAGGTAACTTGGGGTGGGAGCGAGGGAATCATTACATCAGTGAGATGCACAGCTCCCTCCCAGTACAGTTGTGCCCTCTGGCAAGAAACTCAACAAAGCTTGTTGGCCTTATGAGCTCTTGGTGCAGTATTTTTATCTGCAAAAGTAAGAGTAGGATCTATGGTAAAATGACAAAGAACCTGTGGACACACCGCTACAGCAAATGTGCTGAAGGCAAGAGTTGCCTTTTAGGTATGACAAGATGCTTTGAGATGTTGCAAAAAGTTACTGGATAAGAAGATTTGGGCAAGGTCTTTGACAGAGTGGATAGGCTGGTATGTTTCAAACCTGGCCAATTTCAGATGTGTGGACTTCAACTCCTAGAATTTCTCAGCCAGTATTATCTTACATGTGATCTTAATGTTGCCAAACACTAAAATAGGACAATATGCTATTCTAAAATATATCAGAGGTGAGATGCATTTTTACATGTCTCGTTTTCTTTGCTAGGGAACATAGCATGTATAAGTCAGAGCACTGAAGCTTTTGTTTCAAATATTTGATTGCTTTTGTCAGAATTTTATCCCTTTTTAGAAATTTGTGGGCACTGCCAATATAGACGATCAAGCATGTTTTTATTTCAGTAAAAATTAGAAACTTGATTGGGTTATTTACCATCGCGAAGATCAAGTGTTGGGTCCCTCTTTTGCGTATAAAAAGTATGAAAGAAGAAAATATAGAAAAGTTGGATAGAAAGGTTAGTAAGATTTTATGAGCAGCTGATTGTGGAGAAGAAGAACTTTAGAACATGGGATCTCCAACTTTGGCAACTTTATGACTTGTGGACTTCAACTCCTAGAATTCCTCAGCCAGCATGCCAGCATGCACTGGCTGAGGAATTCTGGAAGTTGAAGTCCACAAGTCATAAAGTTGCCAAGGTTAGAGACCCATGCTTTAGAAGGTGGTGGTGACCCATCCTTTTGCCATTTGTATTTTTCTCAGTTCTTTGAATGGCAACTTGCATCAGCTATAGCCAACATGGCTAATAATTCAGGATGAAAGCGGTTCAGAACAGGGGCAAGGCATAATTTGGAGAGAAAAAAATGAGATTTCTTAACCTTTGGAAGGCTGTCCTACTTTTGGACAATGTGGGTAGTTACAAAGCTCAGTTACTGAGAGAACTTTATTTTCCACGTAAGAACTTGAACCTTGGAGGGAAAGAGAGGGAGAATGCTTTGAGGATTTTTTTAAACCAAACAACCAATTCCATATCTGATATTCTGTTATTGGATAATCATTACATCCCCTGTCAAGATGCAAATAGAGCTTAATTATTTCCCAATTATTTTTGGTTTGGGCATAATTATGAATTCCCAAGTGAACACTTTCCATAGGTTGTGGGGCTGAAATTTTGTGATTTTGTTGTTGCCTGCCTAATTCAGTATCTGGCTGCAGACTTTCCTTTTATACCTGATTCATGTGTGACAAGTAGTTGATGCAACAGCCTCTCACTAATCATATGAGACAAACAACATCTAGAATCCTTCTCTTTCCATCTTAGCAAATTAACTAAGTTAATTTTCTCCAAATTGCATCTGCCTTTGACTCTCTCAATAGTTGCCTATTTTTGCTTTTGCTTTTAATTTATCTTATCTGTTTGTTTGTTTGTTTGTTTTGTCTTCCTAGGAACTGGAAGTGCTTCTCTCTCTCATGCCATCATCAGGACAATTGCCCCAACAGGGCATCTGTATACAGTGGAGTTCCACCAACAGAGAGCTGAAAAAGCTATAGAAGAGTTTGAAGAGCACAAAGTGGGGCATTTGGTGACAGTCAAGACCCAGGATGTCTGCAAAAATGGGTTTGGGGTCACCAACATTGCAGATGCAGTGTTTCTGGACGTTCCATCCCCTTGGGAAGCTGTAGGCCATGCCAAATTAGCATTAAAACATGAAGGTATGTATCTTTTTCAAAACTACTTGCTGGATAGTTTATTCCAACCTGTTACTTTCCAGATGTGTTGGATTATTACTTTTATCATGCAACTGAGCATGGCTATCTTGCTGGATAGCTGTGATGGGAATTATATTCCAATACATTTGGAAGACAATAGATTGGAGAAAAACGGTCTAGGAAGGGTATCACTATGATTTGATTCGTGGTTTGCAAGATTTGGAGTCTAGGTGATTTCAGAATTTCCCAAACCTGTCTTACCTTCAGTCAGAGGATATTTTCCTACCCCCTCCTCATCAGCCCCAATTGGCTGACATTTTGTAGATAAAAGGAGGAAGGGAGAAAGATTTTTCTTAGGTCACAAATTACTTTGGAAAAGAAAACTGGACCTCCATACTGTTTGCTGTTTTGGGCACCTATGAGCATGAATGCTTATTTGAGTATGTAAGTGAACAAGTACATGCTCCTTAATGTGAAAGGCAACTTATAGACTTGTATTTTAGATGTGATCCCTCCAATTTATAGTCATCTGAGGCATGCATTTATTTGTTATAAATCAGATAAAAGTGCCATAGCACTAACTTATATCTTGCTTGCAGACAGGTAATG